CCTGGTCCCACTTGTCTGCCTTTGCTTTCGTGGCTTGTCTTGAGGGTCTGCAAGTTGTTTAGAGACAGGTGGAAGAAAGGGGGATGTTGAAGACAGAAGAAAGGACAAGATAACCACTTGAGCAATGTCTACTAGCAGACAGGAGAGGGAACGGCACAAGATTAAGAACCTTAGACAGGAGGTGGGGGAGGAATAATGTGGGCTGTGGCTCTCTTCATCCACATTTTCCAGAATCACCTGGTATGTAGGGCTCCATACTAAGGTCCAGACCATCACATGCATTGTGAGAAAGGTGGAAGGGAGTGAGGCAGAAAATAGGAATTCCTTTAGCTATTTCAAGCAAAATGAAACTTCATTAATTGATTAATTCATGATACCTGTAGCACCTGGCTACATCTGCTGTTTCTGCTGGCAAGCCCTATGTGGACCCGCTGGATTTTTCTTTAGCAGTGTTCCAATGACCAGATGTCAAGAAGCAGAATGCAGATCCCATTCAGCACGGTGGGAGAATGGGGCTGCTGTTTTCACAGCTCACCTACTAATCTCAGCTATAGAAGGGGTCCTAGAACCAAGGGCTCCAATGCTCACTTCCAGTCCTCCTTTCTATTGCACAAGAGAAGGCAGCTTATCTGAGGGCTAGTTCTCTGGCGGTGTTCTTGATATTACCAAGCTTACTACTTCAGCCCTTCTTAAGGAGATTGTAAGACTTTAGTTCCCCACTTTAAATATCATGAATTAATCAGTTAATAAAGTTTCATTTTGCTTGACATAGCTGAAGGAATTCCTATTTTCTGTAAGTAGACCCAGACAATGAGATTTATTCTCCCCCTCCAACCTTTAGAACATCGATTTTATTATACAATTGGGTAAAAACCCAGAAATTTATTAAGCATCATCCATGTTATCCCAGAAGCCCAGGAAGAAGGCCAGGAAAGAGAAGGGTAGGGGGAAATGTCCCAGGAGAGAACCTTTCCTCCTTTGGGCCTTTCCCTCTTGATGAGCTTCCTCACCTTGGGCCCAGAGCAATGGAATCAGCAAGGTACACATGGAGACCACTGAAACCATGACCTGTGTGCCAACATAACCTCCTCTATTTCTTGTTGGGTGTCTGGGCCAAAGACATGAGGAAGTTAATTAAAACACAGCCACAGGCCATTGTTCCATACAGGGTAAATATTCTTACGTGTGTTTCTGTGTATGTGTGGGCACGTGTGCACTGCTAGGAAGTGAACCACGTCTTAGAGCATGCTAGAGAAGCAATCTTTTTTAAAATTTTTTTTTTTTTAGTTGAATGGACTTTTATTTATTTTTATGTGATGCTTAGAATCAAACGCACTGCCTCACACTTGCTACTCAGGAGCTCTACCACTGAGCTCCAACACCAGCCCCTGGGGAAGCACTCTTAAACTGCACCTGCCATGCCTGCGGGTGGAGCCTCATGGCCTGACTGCACTCCAGTGGAGTTGGTCCCCACTAGACGTGCCTGTGTGAGGGGGGTTCTTGGGGCTGACCTGAAGCACATTAGATTGGGTACTCAGATCTCCATGAAGACAGAAAGATCTCTGGCAAAGCAAATCCAGGACAATTATAAAAGCTAGTGTCACCTTTGTTCCACAAGATGTAAGAGAATAAATTAGAGAAAAACCCCAAGATTATTCTATGGAATCAAACACAGGGTGCACGTGTATCATTGTGACATCACTGGCTGAGGGGGTGGGATGGAGAGGCACAGCAGTGGCATTCTCTATGCCAGTGAAATTACACTGCCACAGACTCCCATCTGGCTGCTGTTCCTATCTTGTGGGAAATGACACCCCCACAGGAACCGCCAAGAAATTCCTCTAGGACATACCCAAAGTGAGAAGTAAGAAAACTCAAATGTTTACTACAGACATCCCCTGAACAGAAGACAGTCCCCTAACAACCTAAGTCACACTGAATCCAACTTGCCCTGGCCTCCCTATGAGGACACAAGCCACCTGAACCCTGAGCTCACCCCTCCCCTTCATAATCTTTTAGCAGCAGCCAGGAGGAGATGTTGGGTTTGGAGGTGGCACTGTGTGCTGGTGCCACAACCAAATATCACTGCAGGAGGGCCCACCCTGCCCACTGGCCCTCCTTTGGCTTCCCTGCCAGTGGGATTATGGAGGTGGTGCCACAGACACTCTGGAGTCCAGTGGCTTTCCAGAGGAGTCTTCTCTAACACCTGCCACCCACCCTCTCCACACATCTCAGGGAGGGGCCTGAAGAGCAGGAGTGGGATCCTTTGTGGCCAAAGCAATCTGCTAAAACAGAATCGAGTCTACAGTGGCTCAAGGAGAGAATCTCCGTCTACACCAGGTCAAGGCCTGAGTCCCCACCTACACTGGCTGAAGGTGCGGGAGTCTATCTACACAGAACAGCAGAGGGAGGCCCAGTGGTCCAGGCTGTGGTCAGGCCGTCTGCTGGGCTCCTGCTTTTGCCCTGAGGCCTCTCTCTGGTTTTGGTTTTTCCTTTTTAAGTTTTATCTCCTCTATTTTTCAACCTGCCCTCTTAAAACAAAGCAAAAGAAAAAAGTCTTTGGAACATCAATTTTATTATTCAATGGGTGAGAAACAGAAATTGATGAGGAACCATCGCTGCTGTCCCAGAAGCCCGGGAGGAAGGCCGGGGCAGAGCAGGGCAGGGGAAGTGTCCCAGGGAAGAGTCTCTGGTGTCTGTGGCAGGAGGGGGCAGAGTGGTGGTGGAGGCCGACCGGCTCTTGGCTGGAGTCCACACGGGGAAGCCCAGGCCAGTGGGCGTCCCTCAGTGCTGCAGCTGTTTCGGTGCCCTTCCTGACGGGTGCCCACTCTGAGGTCAGGCTGCTCGGAGATCGGGGTCTTCTGGCTGTCCCTTGGTCGTGTGCCTCCTCAGGGCGCGTCCACTGGGGCCACTCTGTTTTGATACCTAGGGCGCCTGTGGCCTCCCTGCCCGGGTGCCGCTCTTCTTCTGGAGCGGAGTCCGCGGAAGCAGGGCAAGCAGCAGCACAGTTGCTGGAGGCAGGTGGCGATCCTCCTGGTGACCCCTCTCCAACCCCGGCTGCTGTTAGCAGATTGGCCTGAGGAGGACTCCTGGGAGGAGGAGCTGGGGCCTTCTGCCACACACCCACAGAGGACCCTCCATAGGCTGGGCCTGGAGTCCTGGGACCTGCGGGGCACAGGGTCACCTCGGGAGGCTGGGCTGGGAGGGGCTGTGCCTACGTGGAAGCAGCGCAGAGGAATGTCAGGCACGCTGGCACTGACCGCGCCCCTGTGCCCTGCCTGCCTGGCCTCCTCTGGGGGCTGGCGCTCCCGGGGCACTGGATGGGCAGGCTCGCTGGCGCACCACCTGCTGGGGCGCAGGCCGGGGGCATCCGCGGGGCCTGGGTGAGGCCCCACCACCCTTCTGCGCACAGGCCTCGCCTGGAGCGCACACCCCGCCGCGGCCTGGGTTCTCTGGTGCTGGAGGATAAGATAGGTGGCCATGGCCTCGTCGTATTTCCGCTGGTCCAGGGACACCCAGGCGTGGTAGGGGTCGTAACCCATGTCGAACATGATGGTCATGATGGCGGGGTCTGGGTGTCTGGGGTGTGGGTCTCTTCGAGGACTGGGCGAGGGTTCCCTGCCCTGGCTCAGCCATGGATGCCCTATTACCTGCTCCAGGGTGGGCCTCTGCCTGGGGTCCAGCCTCAGCATCTGCCGGATGAGGCTGCAGGCGTCCTGGGAAAGGTACCTGGGAAGGTGGTAGCTGGCCTGCATGAGGACGTCCTGCAGGCGCTTGGCGGCCCTGGCCTTAAGTGGGCGTCTCCCCGTGAGCATGAGAAACAGGGTGACCCCCAGGCTCCAGACGTCCGCTGGGGGACCCTCGTATTCTTGTTGCTGCACGATTTCAGGGGCACGGTATGGGACAGTGCCCCAGAAGCCATTGAGCTTCTGCCCAGGCGTGAAGGTGGCGCCCAGGCCGAAGTCAATGAGCTTGACGCTGCGGGCCCTGATGTCCACCACCACGTTGTCGGGCTTCAGGTCCAGGTGCACTATGCCCCTGTCATGGCAGTGGCGCACGGCGCGCACGATCTGCCTGAACACCGGGCGGGCCTTGTCCTCCTGCAGGCCACCGACCTCCGGGATGTAGCGCCACAGGTCTCCCCCATCTGCGTGCTCCATGACCATGTAGACGGTGCTCGGGCTCTCCATGAGCTGGAAGAGCTGGATCACATTGCGGTGATCCAGGGCCATCAACCTCTCAGGTTCGGAGAGGACGGGCACGTTCTCCTGTGTCTTGCACACCACTTTCACTGCCACCTCTGCCCCGGTGAGGAGATGGCGGGCCAGTAACACACGGCTGAAGCCCCCCTCCGCAAGCTCCCTCACCACCTGGTAATGGTCAGTGAGGGTCGACTCGTAGCAGGAGCTGGGCTCCTGTGACCCTACACTATTCTCACTACTCTGACTCTGCATCCTAGAGCCGGAAAAAAAAAAAAAAGAAAAAGAAAAAAGAAAATAAAATAAATCAAAAATAAAATAAAATAAAAATTAAAAAAAAGAAAATAAAAAAATAAAAATAAAACTTAAAAAAAGAAAATAAAAATAAATAAAAAAATAAAATATAAAATAACAAATCCAAACAAAAGAACAAAACCAACAACCAAAAGACAGAAGACAAAACAAACAAACAAAAGCCCAAATCAAAAAAAACAACAGCAAACACCGAAACCACCAGCCACCAAACCACTAACCACCAACCACCAACCACTATCTATCTGGGAGTCCGACAGGTCACTATCAAGAGCTTCCTGTACTTATGGACGAAAAACCCAGCTGCAGGCCCTCTCTTATATGGCCGGTGTTTGAGAGCGCATCACAGTGGCTCCTTGTGAGGTCAGAGTAACGGATGGCTACCAGTGGTCATCTCACTTTGGGGCCTCCGGAACCTTTTCAACTTTCATAATAAGAAAGGAGCCTGGAAGTTTTTTGTATTGAATTTTTTTTTTTTTTTTTTTTGTAATTAGGTATCCATGACCCATGAATTCATTTTGACAGATTTTACACAAATGGAGCCCGACTTCTCTTTCTCTGGCTGTACATGGCATAGTCACACTGCTAGGGTAATCATTCATGTAGATTGGACAATAACGTCTGTCTCATTTCTCCTTCCTTACCACCTCCACACCCCCTCCTCTCCCATTACTCCTCTCTGCCCAATCCAAAGTTTATTTTCTCTCCCCACTATTATGGATCAACATGTTTTTATCAGAAAACATATGGCCTTTGGGTTTTTGGATTTGGCTTATTTTACTTGTAGCAGGAGGGAAAGAAGAAAGGATGATCACAGATAATGGTCACTCTTTGGTGATAGTAATTACCACAAACAGAAGTTTTTATGTGGGATTGTATAGAGCTCTGAAGAGGTTCATGGATAGAATTGAGAGTAACTGAAGTAATGAGAGAAAGTCATGTCTCCATTTTCAATGCTTTCTAAAATTTAGCATTTCCTTTCATTCTGAATGTAAACACTAAACTAAAGCATCAAAAAAAGTTTTTTGTCTCTAGTAGAAATTCTAGATATTTTTATATCACACTGGAGTTGTAGCTGATCTCAAAAAATTATTTATGTCCACAACTTAAAATTCATGGACATTATTAGATTTACTACTAGATTTTGTTCTTTAGTGCATTTATAAAGAAGAAAGATATACTACTATATCATCACTTAAAAACTGATAACTATTTCCCTTGTAATCCTATGTATTTTACTTTAGGCATTTAAAATTATCCCTCTGATATGGGGATCCATCAACTTCCCTAGATTGGCAGAGTTTCCCCCCAAGCCTAAAGCATATTCAGAAGCCCGTTTTAACATCTTCAATTTTTACCATAAAGTAGGGTTTCTAGATTTTGACATTGACATTTAATTGTGGTACACATTTGTCAAAACTCACCAAATGACATAAATTTGGGCATTTCACTGTATGTAAATTATACCAGAGGAGGAAGGAGAAGAGGGCAGAGAAGAAGGAGAAGGATAAAGAGAAAAGGAACAATGGTAACTGCAAATAAAAACTAAGTTCATAGTTAATGCAATACACATTGAGTGTTTAGGGATGAAGTGAACTGATGTCTGCAACATACTCTGAAATGCATTTTCCTTTAAGAAAAAGATGGATCAATGAATAAAAAGGTTGGTTAGATGACTAGATAGAGGACCAATACAACATGGAAAATGTCAACCATAAAGCCTAGGTGGTGGGTGTGGTTTATACTTGGCAACTTTTTTTTTTGTGGCTTTTAATGTTCCTACTGGTAAAAAGGTAAGTGGCTAATCTTTTTGTGCCCTTTTGAAGTATTTTATTAACCTCTGGGCAAAGAAACATCTACCTCAAAACATGCAAAGCATTTCAAGTGAGTCTTGCCCTATTTTCATACACAGATCATAAAACAATATTATCTCCATTTCAGTAATGACAATCATCAACTTCTGACACTGTGGAGCCCATTTCTGGATCATCTGGGCTGTTCCAGTCACTGGGATTACCTCACACATGTCCTCATGCAGATTGGTAAGAGCTTTTATTGTTGTTTAACAAAAAATCTCTGGTCAACGAAGAACTAGAACAAACAGGAGTCCAGGGGGAAGATAACTTTGTTGACAGCAAATCAGTAGCATGTATCAATCAAATATGTGAAGAAGGTAGGAGGACAGATGTATGCGCACGCATGTGCATGTGTGTATGTTTTAGGGGTGAGGCACTCAAGCAGAAGAAGGGAAATAACATTTTAGAAAGAAGATACATATAATAATCCACAAAAAAGGAACAGTAACTTTAATCCAGTTTCACCACAGAGAGAAGCCTTGCTTTTTTTCTCTTTTATATGCTCATATTTGATGCAATATGATACTGTCACCTGGCACAGGGGTGTGACAAAGGCTACCCGAGTTTGGCACCTCCAGCTCTTTTGTGGCTTTCCTTTCTCAATAAACCTTTGACAAAGGTTAGGTGTTTGAAAGGCGGGCTGTTCCTTGTTTGGCCCAAGTGTTTGTTGCTCAGCAGAATGACTGAACGTCTTTGAATGTCAATAAATAAGTGGTTTCAGTAAAGCTTTTTGGAGTATATTTCCCTGAAGGCTGCTTGGTGGCGTGTTTGGGATTGGTTTGGTTGTGTGTGAAACTAGTAAATGAACAATGTAATTACCAGGCTGTGTAAGAAGATAGCAGAGAGAAAATATCATCACCAAGCAAGAGTCAGAGACTTTGAACTTCATTTTAGTTGATAAAATGGCAAAGTGGGGAAGAGGCAGGAGTGGATTTGAACTAAAGAGATCTCAGGAGCCACGGTATAGACATGGCAGTACTAAAAATAATATGAATTTTGTAAATATCTACTGTTGTCCATCAGTATCTGTGGGGGATTGGTTCCAGCAGCGCCCCATGTATCCAGAAATTTATGTTGGTCAAGTCCTTTTATATGGTCTAGTATTTTCAAATTACCAACACACTCCTTCAAATATTTCAGTCATTTCTAGAGTTGTTATACTCTACTGTTTATGGAATATTGACAAAGAAAAGAAGTCTATAATGTTCAATACAAGCACAATTTTCTTGTTTGAATATTTTTAATCCACAGTTGGTTTAATCCACAGATATGGAGCTCATGAACATGAAGGGCTGATTGTACTAGGAAAAAAAATAGGGACTAAGTCTGCCTTGGATGAGCACATGTCAGTTTCCAGTTAACTTGGTGCTGTGTTATAGATAGAGGCATAATTCAAACCTAATTCATGTAATAGTATCTTGCTACTGGCTGTTTATAGGGGGAACCTAATGGAACTAGACTAGCAATACTAACCCCATGTCAAACAAGTTCAGGGAAATCAATGCCACTCCTCTTGTTTCCAAGGATCCCTGCACTGCTCTTGAGATAGGATAGTGGTTTCCTCGTACTCCCAGGTCAAACGGTTTCTTTTTAGAATTAACTTTCTTTCTATCCTTTCCTTTTTTTGGTGAGGAGGGATGCCGGGGATTGAACCAAGGGGTACATAACCACTGAGGCACATCCCTAGCCCTTTTTTAATTTTGATTTTGAGACAGGGTCTCACTAAGTTGCTTAGGGCCTTGCTAAGTTGCTGAGGCTGGTTTTGAACTTTCGATCCTCCTGTCTCAGCTTCCCGAGTTGCTGGGATGACAGGTGTGCCCCACCATGCCTGGCTAGGAATTAACTTTCTGATGTACAAACCTAGCATCATTTGCCTGTCAAGTTGGAATAATAGAGTACACATATTTCATAAAATAATGTAATGGCTAGCATCCAGGCCCAAAAAGCAGGAGATGAACTCTCAGATTTAATAGAATTTAGGAGAAAAAAAAATTCCTTTTGATTCCTTCCTTAAGATAAATTGTATCTAATTAACAAATAAGCAGTTAGTTTTTATTGGCTTGTGACTCATTTGGGACTCAATTCCACTGATGACGTTTACAAGCTTGCCTGAAACCAGAAACAATGTGAAACCTGAAGGTGATTCTGGGTCTGGTGGAGGATTATAGAATGTATAATTGTATTTCATGTAAAATATTCACCTCTTAGGTGGATTTTAGGAGTTGCTGACATAATATTTTCATGGTATTTTGATTGACCTATTGTCTTAAGTCTGTTGGGAATGAGATGGCAAAATTCTATAAACAGAATGGCCTTACAAACAATGGAAATTTATTTCTCAGAGTCATGGAGGCTAGGAAGTCCAAGACCGAAGTGCCAGATATGGTATCTGGCAAGGGCCCCTCTCTAAATTCATAGATAAGCCTTCTCAACTGTGCCTTTGCATGGCAGAAGGAGACACTTGGCTCTGTCATCTTTCTGTAGGAAGGCACCAATCCCCTTCATGACTTAATCATCCCCAAAGTTCCCATCCCTATTACCATCAACCCTGGGGATAAGGACTTCAACAAGGGATTTTTTTTTTTTTTTTGCATTTAGCACAATGTTTTTTAATAAAATTTAATAAAAATTTCATTAAACAAACAAGAGAAATGTAGGTAATTAGCATTGACAGAAAAAAAGGTACAGAATGTCCAGCTACATTTGAAATCCATATCAATGAAAAAAAATTAAGTAAAAGTACATCCTGTGCAATATTTAAGGCATACATAAGCAATAAAAGCAATGGTGTCCACCTGGAACAATGTGTGTTGTACTTTTATCAGCTAAGTCTGGAAGATTTATTTATTAAATGATCGTAAACTTTTCAAAAAGCAGGATTCAAACTTTTACATGCAGATTTGACACTGGATTTTAGCTATGTCAAAAAGATGGAGCATCTCATCTTCTTGTGCTGTTTACCATTACAATCTTTTTATTTTTTTTAAATTGATTTTATTTTTTAAATACACGACAATGGAGTGTATTACAATTCTTATTACACATGTAGAGCACAATTTTTCATATCTTTGTATATAAAGTATGTTCACACCAATTCATGTCTTTATACATGTACTTTTTTTGGCAATATAATTCTTATTACACATATGTACCACAATTTTTCGTATCTCTGTTTGTATATAAAGTAGGTTGACACCCAATTTGTGTCTTCATACATGTACTTTGGATAATGATGTCCATCACATTCCACCATCCTTGCAAATCCCCTGCCTCCTCAACACAAACATTCAGACCATAGAACTATTTTGCCAGTCAGATGACATTGGGGTGTCATAGTTTTTTACATGTGCAAAATGATTTTGTTTTTAAAGATATGAGAATCCACCAATATAATCTCAGCCATTCCACTAGGGTGAGAAAGAGTGAAGTGGCAGAGTGGAGTAAGAACTTACACTTAGTCCTCATGCTTCTCACAAGGTGCTTGTTCCCCCTGACATGTAAAGATGTCATGTGGATGTTGGACCCCAGTACTGTGGACACAGTTAGCGAGGCAGACAATTTGTTTGCCTGGGTGTAGGAGCTCTTCTGCTTCAAGGTGAAATGCTGGTCTCACCTGGTTAGAATTTTAATTTTGATTTTTATCCAGAAGCATTCTCTTCTCCACTCACATCTTTACCTTTGCTGTCTGGTATAGAGTGTCTCAGGACTGCTGTTGGTTCCTTTTTTGCTTATCCTTGTTGGTATGTTTTGGGTTTACTAATAAGAAATTTGAGTAAGGATAGATAACTTTTCTTTGGTTCGGAGGATTAAACTCAAGGGTGCATAACCACTGAGCCACATCCCAACCCTTTAATAAAATGTTTTATTTAGAGACAAGGCCTCACTAAGTCACGGAGGCTGGCTTAGAACTCATGATCCTCTTGCCTCAGCCTCCTGAGATGCTGGGATTACAGGCATGTACCAACATGCTTTGCAGAATGGATGTCTTACTGCAGCATGTACTGTGATTCACCATGGATAGCACTAATGACAGAGAAGTTTTAGGGTTAATGACACAGGACCACCAGTCCTTATATGTGGTGTAGGGCGTGGAGGGACAATGATGGCACCGGCTCTGGATAAGAACTTTGTGCCTTTGGGGTTGTTACAGGCTGATTCTGTCCTCTCAAAATCCACAATTGGAAGTGCTAACCCCCAGCTCCTCGATGCTATGGTTTAGAATATGGTTTGTCCTCTCTGAAATTCAGGTTGGAGTTTCATCCCTATTGTGAGGCATTAAGAGGGTGGAAATTCAGTCTGCCTACAGTGTTTAAAGGTGGGACTTTTGAGAGAAAATCAGGGTTAGATAAAGCCATCAGGTGAAGTCATCAGGGCTGAACACTGGTATACCCCGAAGTGGAAGGTAGGACACACACAACCAAGAGAGAGAGCTTTGTGAGGAGGCAGCAGGAGGGTGGCCATCTATAAGCCACAGAGAGAGGCCTTAAAAGGAACCAAACCTATGGTCCTTGATCTTGGACTGCTAGCCTTCAACACTGTGAAAATAAATCTCTGTGGTTGAAACCTGTGGTATTTTCCTATGGCAGGCCTTGAAGACTTTAATCGGGGGTTTAAAGAAAAGTGAAGAATGTTTGGAATTGTTCAAAATAAAAAGAGCAAATCCTAGGTGAACTCAAGAATTGTGTGATGTGTATTCCCAGGAAGCTAATAAATAAAAGGAGGATTCTGGGTTCATATAAATTTGGCAAATGTTGGATTAGATAGTAAGCCTGGTTTCTTTGCGATAGGATTTATTGCTGATAGATATGAGTCATATAATCTGGTGTTCCCAATACCTCCCTTCCCCTCGCATTTCATTTCCAGCCCATTGCCAACTCCTGATGACTCTATCTTCTGTATATTTCTTGAATTAGTTCACTTCTATCTGAACCTCCATTGAAACCCAGACTATACTAACATTGCCTGACATTTTAATGTTGTAAATTGAGTCATGAATTAGTATACTTCTCTCTACTGAACTGCTGTAAATTCCTGAACCAAATTACCTATGTCTCCTGCTTAGACCACCATCAAGCCTTTGTGGTGGGTCTGTCCACACCCACTGGGGTCCCCTGAGTCAGTTCCACAACAAGGATGGAGTAAGGTCTTCAAGCACAAGTCTGTTTATGTCAACTGTTTTTCAAAGATATTTCAGTAGCTTCCCATTGCCCTGAAGAGCAGAAGATAAGACTTCTACTCATTTCTAAAAAGTTTATCTTGAGCCATCTTCCCCTTGGCGCTCTAGCTTCATGGGTCTTCTTTTGGTCCTGTCTACCCCTGGGCCTGGGTTCATGCTGCCCCTTCTTCCTGGTTAATGAGAACTCTCCCTTTCCTTCCCTTATTGGGTTGATCGTTACGTTGTTGATTCACATTGCACACACTACCGAAAATTCACACTTGTGTGATTATTTGTTCCATCCATGAATCCAATTCTTCTAGATGAAAAATTCCAAAGTCTGCAGAACATCTCTCGTGAAAAATGCCATTAATTTATTGATGAAAATTGGTGAGGATATGGCTGAAATACAATGTGAAAATTTTTACAAAGAAAGAGAGTGAAAAGGATTAGAGGAGAAAGGCTTGAGATTCTTAGACACAGCACTCTTTGCTATAATTTAGCAATATTTGAAACAAATAATCCATCTGCAAAGTTAAAATCGAAAGACATTGGGCCTATGGTTGGAGGTATACTTGGGTGTTTAACTTTTTTCTTTTAATTTTGAGCTTGGGATTTTGAAATGTTCAAACCTACAGAAGACTTGACAGAACAGTACAGTGAACAACCATCTGCCTTTAATCTACCTATTTGATGTGATTTGGTCTGAAAAAAGCCATTCTATAGTAGGATTTTTTTTTTTGCTTTACTGTATTTTTTTTAATAGCAGAATTACTGGTGTCATTCTGATTGCACCTTCAGAAAGACATAAGATGAAATAATTAGATCACAAATGCCCAGACTTGAGGAAGAAAGGCGAGCTATGTCAACTGGCATGTCATCATTCAAGATGTATTTAGGGAAACCTTAAATAAGGTGCTAGGATAAGAAGAAATTGGTAGCTATTATGCTTAAGAAATTTATAGTCACCTGAGAAAATGAGACACTTTTGTATGAAAGAATAACTAGTGATAAAAATAAGTGAAAAATGTGGTGACAGGAGGAAGAGGATGAGATGTTTGTTGTTTCTTGGTAGAAATGGATTTCCCATGGGAAAGAGCACATTTTTTACAATCCATTAATTTCCTTGATAAAAATGATCAAATCAGGAAATAATATTATCAGGCAAATTATAAAAAGCATTTCCATTTTGAACAAATAAAAGTGTAAAGCATCTGATAAGGCTATCTAAGATATATTTACCATTATTTTAGTTCCTTACTGGAAGGACAATCCAAAGCTAGGGAAAGTATTTGTTTTTTAAAGGTCCAATGTTAGTTTGGTAGACTTAAGCCAAACAATTAATCCATGTTTTTTCCTAACAAAGAACAGGTGATGATATTCACCTGATATATTGGATCAGGCCCACACGAGAAGCCTGTCTTGGTGACTCCCACAGACAGCTTCAAGCCTAAGATCTGGCTGAATTTCCCTCAGAACCCATTCTCTTCAGAGGGCTGCATCTAGGCTGGAGAAATGGGAAGTAGGAAAATAATGAATGAGATCACAACCCGGTGCAAATGTTAATAGTATAGGAAGAAAAGGATCATATAAGTGCTGTGGAAGCCCACGACTAGTAGCACAAAGAAAATATAAGGGGGTATTTTTTAAATAATAAAAACTGTTAACATTTTGACACTTGTCCAACCCAGATAAGACTGAAAATTGCTTTTAAAACGATGAGATTTGCAGGTCCAAGGGATCATTTTAGAGATGATTCTATAAAGAGGCAGTTCACACATGTAGCTGGCGTGAAAATTTGGTTCTCTAAGACCAAAGTTCTAAATCAGATTCTCCAACCTGGGAAGGAACCAGAGGGGGATACTGCTAGAAGCTCACAGGATTACTTGTTTTAATTTATGCTTTGAACTCTTACTTTTTTGAATTTTCCCCAGTGTATATATATATGTTCATTTAACAATCTGGGGGACAAAAACAACCTCAAAGGTTAAAGTTGAAATTCCTCATTTTTATACATGGGCAAATGATGGCTGTGGGCAAGGAAGACCCCAAATAAAAGCTGCTGGGAAGTCAAAGCCCAAGGGTTTGGGGACACTCATGTGGCGGGGTGATTAACAGAGGCCTACTGACCTCTTGCCTAAAAACAGTTATGTTTGAAGGTTGCTGAAGTTGCTTACAAGTCTGTCTGTCACTTCATTATTATTCTTTTAATGGCTGCATTGGGATAGTTACATACCTTTACAATTCCATTTAAAGTGTACTGGTCCATGATTTGGTATAATCAGAATTGTGCAACCATTGCCACAATCCATTTTTACCAACATCCAAAGAAATCCCATCAACTCTGTCGACTCCCAAATCCTCTATCCTCTCCAGCCCTCCACAATCATCAAAAAACTTCCCATTTCCATATTTGTCTATTCTGGATCTTTCATATATATATGGAATCATTCAATGTAGCTTTTTGTGTCTGGTTTCTTTCATTTGGCATGATGTTTCCAAGGTTCATCTGTTTGTGGCATGTGTCAGTACTACCTTCCTTTTTAGGACTAATAGTTTACTGTATGAAACTATCACATTTTATTTATCCATTCATCAGACAGTGGATATTTGGGTTGTTTCCATTTGGGGCTATTATGAATAATGCTGCTTTGAACATTTGTGTTCAAGTGTTTCTATGGACATATGTTCTTATTTTTCTTGGATGTATGCCTAGGACAAGACTTAATGCATAATGTACTAATTCTGTATTTAATCTTTTAAGAAACCACTAGACTATTATCCAAGTGGATACCCCATTTTATATTCCCATTAGCAATGTGAGAGAGTTCCAGTTTTTTCACTTTCATATCACACTCATTAGCACCAATTTAATGGGTGACTGTAATGATGTAGTACACTGCATTATTTTTAACTTTTATTTAAAAAATCATGCTCTAATTACACAAGTCATAGGAGTTAACATACAAGATTTCTTCACATGCATGCTCTGATTTATTTCCTAGCATTTAGGCTGACAACACCATCTATGTGTTAGCACAAAAGTATTGTCCCCATTTTACAGAGAAAGAAATGGATGCTCTAGGGCAGCTCTAGAACTGGGATTTGAACCCAGGGAGCGTCTAAAAGCTTCTGATTTTAACCTTTTTCAGTGGCTGCCATGTGCACAAACAGGAGGATCCGTGGGATTGATGAAGGTAACTCAGGTAACTTCATCAATGGGATTGATGAAGGTAACTCAGTTTTATTAATTTAATGCATCTAGTGATTAAGATGCTGATGGGATATGGGTTTTATATTATGACGATAAGCAAGATGCTACCTGTTGACAGATGAAGGATCAGAGCAGCAATTTCTGTGACCAAAGGCAATTTACAGGAAGACCTGGGATTGGGCAGAGCATGTCTGCTTTACATTTACCTTTTGATCCTGGTACTTGCAAGAATGAGGCCAGTTTCTCCTGAATGACTGCATTCTCTTAAAGTTGCCAGATAAATTATTTCAGTCTTGTGATGACTTTCCACCTCATGTAAAATAGTTCCTGTCTTTTTCTGCTTGTAGTTGGGGAAAAATTATTTTTTAATAGTAATTTTGGCTATAACTGCAAGCCATTCTGGAAATTCATCATGCTCTACTTAAACATTATTAGTAAAAAGGCTGGCTAACTGGAACCCCATTGCATATATATTTCTTATATCTTTATCTAGGCTCATTCCAATTTTCAAATTTGCATAAGTGACCCAATTAAGTAGAACAGTGTGAAAGAATTGATCTTCAGAATAACTACTTCCTAGGCATTGCTAAAAGTGGTATATTTTTATGTAATTTCCTAAAGAGAAACTACACAAAAGTTCCTCCAACATTATAAGTCTTAAAAGACACAGACTAGTTTTAAGTGGGACAGAGTTAATTCAGAAATAAGAAATATAGACCAGAATGCTCATTACGATAAGATTTTTTTTTTTTTTTAAGTAAAGGATCCTTGTTATCTCAATCTTGAGCTTGAAATTGGCAGCCTGTATTTAGAGGGTTTATTCTGCATGGGGAGGTTGGAGGTATAGGTGGGGTGGATGTGGATAAGATAGCAATTCTAGTTTTACTACGTTTAGTAATTTTGTGCCGGGCTTTGGAAGGCTTAGCAGAAAAAAAGAAGCATTGTTTCCCTGAATCATACAAATGAGAGGGAAGGAGGAAATGTTAGAAGAATGACTCTCAATTTTATTTCTTGAAAGACGCTCTTGTGGTTGTGTTCAGTTTGACTGAAACGTACCTTCTTGGTCTAGCTGAATATGGAACTATCCAGAACGGCTTTTCCTAAAACATCAGCAGACCAAGCAGGAAAGTTAGAGAGCTGATTTGGCTGATGTGCTTTCAATGGGTGACAGTATTGATCTTTGAAATGATTAAGCCTTTGTATTTTGATTTGCCTGAAAATGATACGTAAGGTTTTTTTATGAGGACATTTTTAGAAAAGAGTACATATTTATAAACACCTAATTTCTGAGTTTCTCAGGAGCCCTTGCTCTTCAGAGTACATCAGTAATGCCACTGCCATAAATTTCAGCCAGAGGAAATTTAACCTCATGTGAAAGCAGCTTCCTGAGGTGAGGCAGGAACACTGGAGGGACTGGGTTCCATCTCTGTCACTAGCTTTGTCCTCCTAACTTACTCTCTCTGAGTCCACCCCTTTAAGTTAATAAATGTTATTCACCTAGAGTACCTGGCACATAGTAGTTGTTCAGGGAATGTTAGCTACTCCTGTTCATATAAGGATCTTTCCGGTATGAGACATGTATTCATGTCATCCCCTATTTTTTTTTTGTTTCATTTTCATCTACTGAGTTTTTGAATAGCTACTGTTGTAAGGTAGCAGGGATTGAGGAGTGAAAGATGCCCATGCCACAGTCCTTGTCCTTCAGGGAAAGGAAAACGTGGTGATGTCACTCAATGACAGTAACAGAAAGGAGAGCAAAGCAGTGTGGCTGGAGATGGGGCAGAGATGGATCCGGTTTCAGGTGAGTTGAGTTTGATGGGCTCTGGGGCTTTGCGGGTGGATCCGTTCTGCAGGCAGCCATTTTCAATGGGTCTACAGGTGTGGGAGAGGCCTGGAGACAGCCATGTGGGTATCAAGTGCTTATGAGCTACCAGGAGTGCTTACAGTGGGCAATGCTGGGGGCGGTAGGGTGTGTGTGTGGGGTGGTCCTTAGGGAGCTAGAAAAGTGGGAGCACTGTGAGGTGAGTCGCCTACCACATGGGGCACTTCCATGCTTGGGGGTAAAAAATAGCAATGAAGGATTTTGGGTATCTTCTTAGGGGTCCAAAAGACATTTGTATGTACTTGAATTTTTAAAAATTAGTGTTTAATCTATTAAAACCACAAATCCAAAAGGCCTTTTTTTGTTGTTTTGTTTTGAGTTGAGATCGACTCTAAATTGTATATTCTATTTAAGTTATCTGAACTCTGTCAATTCTTTTGATGGGGATCCTTCAACTTGGTTAAAGTAACAGACATTTAGTTTAAAATGTTATACATTTAATTTTACATCAATTTTGTGACCAATGAACAAACCCGTCTTCAGTACTCATTTATAAAACAAATTAAACTCATAAAGAGTAATCTTTAGTTTTTGAAAACATTTCAACATAGCTTTAAACACAAAAAATTATGCTAAAACTCCAAAGTCTAAAGAAATCCAGTGACATATTTTAAATTAGGAAACCACAGGGTCAATCATGATAATTATCTTAAATATTACAAATATTTAAAATATTACATACTTTTCTCTAAACTTATCCAAAAGTTTAAATTCTTTGGATTTATTAATCCATCAAATTTATACTTCATTTAAAAATCCCCCAGAATTAAAACTCGATCTTGACAGAATTTTGCTTTTCCAAGAAATTTGGGGTTATATTCTTAGTGCATTTTCATAGTTAGCCTGGATTTGGGATTTAATTTTCCCTATGGAAAATTGCATTAATAGGGACCCCATACCTTAAAAAGGTTTCAGTTTTCTCATCTATGTCCCCAAGATTCAAATGACCTGATTCTTAAGTAAATTTTGATTCCACAACTTTCTATAAGTTGCCTTGCCAGTTGACCCAAATCAATAAATCCAGTCATGGTTAATCCCACCCTGAATCCTCTGCGCCCCCTTCTGTGGGGTCAGAGCCAAAACTCATAGATATATATGCTCATGATCCTGGATTAGATTCTATATCATCGAAGCCTCAGGGTCAGATGTGATAACAGGCGGTGGAGTAATAGGGACTGGTCCTCAAAATAGAAGATCCAGGAATGAGAAATATAGCAGCATAATAGAAGTCAAAGGAAAGACAGGATTCCAAAGTGCAAAGCAGCATCCACATTGTTGGTTGGAAAGGTTAACAAGGACATTTATAAGGTGAAGTACAACCACTAGATTTGGTCAGTTAAATTTTCGTGTCACGACGTGGACAGAAACCGAACAGCTGTGTATTGAGGGTAAACTGGTAGTGCAGACTTGGGCAACACAGCAATGATTCAAGAACTCTGTAAGATTGTTTAGTTCCCCCCACCCCATTTGGTACCGGGGATGAATGCTGGGGCATTTAGTACTGAGCCACATCCTTAGTCCTTTTGATTTTTTTTATTTTGAGACAGGGTCTTTGGGTTGCTTAGGGCCTTGCTAAATTGCTGAGGCTGGCTTTGAATTCCTGCTCCTCGTGCCTCAGTCTCCTGAGCCGCTGGAATTACAGGCATGCACAACCAGGCCTGGCCTGTTTAATTTTAAATAAGGGAGGTATGGGGGAAGTTGGGGAGGGGGAGGAAATATGAGGTGGTAGCCAAAAGGCTCAAAGATAGAGACATTTACTTTGTACTTTATTTAGATTTAAGTGTGTTTACTAAGGGTTGACTGCCCACTCTCCCTCCCCCCCCTTTTTTAAAATTTAAATTACGAGTTTACAGATTCAGGATAGAGACAGAAGTAATTGGTGAAGCATTATCCCAGAAGATGATAGTAACAGAGATTCAGGTGAAAAGGCTGACCTTGAATGGGAAAAGGAGCATCTAATCCTTGGGGGACAGAGGGAATGAAGAAGGGATCGCTACAGATGCAGGTGAGTTAGAGGAGGCTGGAGGGCTGGCCACGCTGAGGGAGGAGATCCCCAGGCCAGGACAGGGTCTCCTGAAATGGCTCACTGTGAGCCATCGGGCAGCTTCCCAGAAAGTCAGCAGTTCATATTAATCACAGATCAGAGAGGAAATCCTAGCCCCTTCTATTCAACTCTGATTCTCCATTAAGCCGAGACTAGAGGTGAGGGCAGGCCCAAGAGCAGGTGCTTGCACTTCTTAACGTTAGAAGCCAGGCTTCTGGGCCCCCATGATCCTACCCACAACCTTTAATCACAGAACTCTGTTTCCCGTTTCCTCCACCTCTTTCTCTGACCAACTTTTCTTCCTTGTTCTGGTTTCAGTACCTTCGCAGATAATCCTCCCCTCTTCTCCCTTCCTTCCTTGTTTACAGGGGGTTCCTAAAGGCTGTTATGACCCCTTTGATCTTCCCTCTGTGGCACCACAATTTAAATTCCACTTTTTGCTTAGGGTTTCTTGTTGTTCTTTCTGAGTGGATATAGCCATGCGAGGGAGGACCAAGCCTCTGTTCACTACTGTATCCTGACCTCACAGAGGTCAATGCCTACAATATGTATGCTAAGTATGATAAGTGGATTTATATACCGTTAAACCACGAGAAGCAGGAGGCTAAAGTCTGAAGCTGTCTTTGTACTTTGAGTTCCACCAAACTGCAACCTAACATAGTATGAAAACAAATTCAACTTACAAGTATAGAGTTCCTCTAACAAATAGCTGAGTTTCAGCCAATCACAGGCAGCCACTAATCAGACCATGCCCAAATAAGGCAAATAAGAGGCGGTAACTATTCATGTTACTTCTGCGCTTTCCTTCTCTTTGGTCTATGAAACCTTCCCAGTTGGCTGAGGGGCAGAGCTCTCTGATCTTTCTGTTTCATCGTGCATCCAGACCGACGACTTGTTCTTTGCTCCAATAAACTCTGTTATATTTATTTTATCTAAAGTTTTTCCTTTAAAAATACCAAGTACATGGTGTGGAAGAATAGCATTTAGGAATTTCATGTGCAAATTAAAGTTCTGTATTTAGAGGGAGGGAGGGCCACTATGGAGTTTTAGGAAGGCTGATGCACTTTCTCTGTAATTTATGGGAAATACAGGAAATGCTCAATACCTATCTGTTGAGTGAAATGAGAATTTTCAGACAAATGAAACTTTAATTCTTTTAAGGAAAAAAGACATACTTTGCCTCTGACCTACTCAAAACAATTTAGAGTCATTCATTATCTACACATTTTTTAAAAAAAAATCCTACTTCAACAAATTAATATTTTTAAAAACAGTGCTATTTGCAGTAAACAGTAGGGTTCATTAAAACTTTGATAACTGATTTATAATGAAAGCACTGGTCACACAACCAAGGTAGTTTCTGAGATATTATATAACTAGAAACACCAATGTTTGATTCCTGAAGCTTCACAGTTACGGATTTTTCTAGAGAATCATCTCTTAGACCTGATTGTCGTATATAGAACGAACCACCATTTTTTGGAGCAGAAACTCATGCATTTGCAAATATTTAAAAAGAAAAGCCCTTACCAATGAATTGCCTGCCACTTTTTCACAGGGAAGTTAATTTTAGAACACATGCATGAAGACTAGTACCATAAGGTAGGCAAATATTTTTCCGTGTGCCACCCAAAGCAAACAAATGAAAATAGAAACTTCAAGGACAATTATAAAAATATTTTCAAATTTAAAGAGACAGCAGCACCATCTTATCCTTTGTTTCCCTCTAAACACTCATCAGAGCGACTCATTTCTTAATTAGTCTCAACTGAGAATTTCTAGCAGGAAAGCATTTCTTTCCTTTTGATGATGAAGTAACTTATTTTTTCTTTCATGTCTTTACTCTCTCAACACATTATGAATCAGAAAAATGGAAGGAAGATACTCATATGTTTATTGATTATGGATATTAAGAAACACACAAGTTCACTTGGTCTAGCCCTTACTTATACCTACAGACAACTTATAACTCTTGCATGGGAATTTTAATTTGTAATAGAAGTTATTATCTCTGTTAACTATCAAAATGTCCCAATGTTTAGGGAATAGTGCAGACAAATAATGTCCCAATGTTTAGGGAATAATACATACAAACTCCCAAAATGACATAAAAATGCTTGGCCGTATCTGTTCAAGAAAGGATATGATCATCAGGTAGTGCATCCATGCTCAGACAAGGAAAGGTCAAGTTAGAGGGAACATCAGTCCTTGAGTTTCAGAGCAGATTAATTCAAATAGTCCATACTGTTGCTCATCTAACATGCTTTGTGCATTATTACAAAAATTCAGTAATTACACCAGGATTACCATCAGTCTGACACATAACTGCTCTGTCCGAGCATAGCTGGAAAGAACAGTGAGAAACAGAACCTCTTCCTGGTACTTCTTGAAGGTACAGACACATACAGGGTCTAGGTCTGGTTTATCCAGAGATAATACTCTCCAGGGTGCGTTGTTATTGTGATCTTGGAACTCCCTACTGCTGTCTTGTAATTTTCTGCTCTCAGGTCTGTTGAGTTGTGGTTCAACCACTTTCCTTCCTGTTTCATTTGCAAGGAAGTTCTGTGGGCTGTTCTCTTACACATTCACCCCTTGCCCATACTCAGGCCCTCAAATGAGCTTAGTGTTCAAGAAGTTTGTTTGGAATGAAATTTCTGCATTTGTGAAACGAACAATGTGAGCATGGTGAAAAGCAGACTTGAAATTGACTCAGGGAAAAGTATATAAAAATGAGTTTGCTTAATATAATTTAAGGGCATATGACACTTATGATACCTATTTTTGTCTTTTCCCAATTTTAAGATGAAATAAATGTATAAATACATTATATGGATACCTTAAATATTTAAAGCTTCATCAACCTACACAAGATTAGCAACAGGAAAAGAAAAGCTGGTTTGAAAGAGTTTAAAATAACACACACATACACACATACACACGCACGCACGTGGGTATACAGAGTCTAAAAGTGGAAATGTTTAGGATATGGAAAATGTTCAGTTGAAGTAAATTAATAAAACACTGAAAACAAGCTCACCAAATTTGCAAAATGGGAGGCAGAGAGCAGAGTAGTTTCCAAAAGACAGCAGCTCATTTAGGTGATAAACACCAGATGCCAAGTGGAGCTCGGCAGAGACAAAAGTGTTCTGATTAGCTTCAGGGAAGAGGGAGAAAAGAATCGGGCACTAGAGGTGAGAGAGCAAACACAGCCCTTAACAGACTGCATGACTCCCCGGGACAAGGCAAGGTAGCCTAGATCCTCAGTTCTATCAGGGCAGGAGCTTTATGTCAGTGAACAGTGATCCACGCTGAAGTGTCCGTTTGGCCGAGCCCCACATGGGATTGACAATCTGAAACTGCTCTGGGACCACCACCAGGCCACGTTGGCTGCATTAGCAGTCCCTGAAACCTGCCGTGCACAGGAGCTGAGAGAGTCCCACCACTGTGGGAAATCACCAAAACGGTTGATGATTTACAAGTGTGTCTTGAATAGGGGTGCCATTTCCTTTGGGAAGCTTGGAGTATTGGTACAGTGCTGCAGTGAGAAGGGGACCAATGTGACACTCTGACACTCCATTAGATCCTAAGTTCAAGTTCATTTCTGTGGTCTGACCAATTAGGTGAGTGCCTCAAAAAAAAAAATATACACATACACACACATATACATATGTGTATATGTATATGTATATATGTGTATACATATGTGTGTGTATAATTGTATATTTGTAGATACATACATGTATATATGTGTGTATATACATATATATGTACACATACACACACTTATATGTGTGTGTGCATATA